GCGGAAAGGTGTCAAGAGCGCTCCCACCTACCGCCAGCTTGTGCCCCCGCCTCACGACAGCCCCATAAACCCGAGCAGCGCCCGGCCAGCCGCTTCCGACGCACTTTCTCCAAAGCCACCTGCTGCACCCCCGCCCCCCCTCCGGCCAGGACAACATGCAGGGCAGAGATACCCTCCTGCGCACACCCCGCTCCGCTGGCCTGGCTTAATAACCCCCGAGCCAGGCCAGCCTTGTCTTCCTGCAGCGCCGCCGGATCGGGCTCCCCCTCCTCACTGTGGGCGCCCGGCCCCCTCCTCCCCTCACTGCCAAGGAGCAAAAGCGAGAGCCCCACTTCGCTCGGCCTTGGGCTTTACCTCGCTCGCTGAGGATCCCATCAATGCTGTGCTTGGCCTTCTTGTCACTCTCCTCCGCTTCCTTCCTGTCCAGCTCGGCCTCCTCCTCTTCGCCTTTCCCAAATTTGCTTCTCAGGATGCGGCTGATGGAGCTCACTTCAAGAGGAAAGGGAGAGCTGTCAAGCAGCACCCTCGCTCGGGATCGGGCCCTCATCCCTCTAGACCTGTGGCCCCAGCGCCCAGCCAGAGAGGGGCTGGTTTGATCCTTGTCAGTTCAGGACACAGGGCACTGGAGTTCTACATCCCCGGGTTAAATGTAGGGGCCTGCCCGTCTACAAGTCTTTATATTCCCCTGCGGGATTTTCTTGGTGGGACTGAACATTTACGGCGAGATAGTTTTGTTTTCTCTAAGCCCGTGAAGTCTGCTGCCCAGAAAGCATCACGCGGGGAATTACACCACAGTGACCCACTGAACAAACTATCTAGGAGGCCTCAGACTGCGGGGTTTCGATTTCAACGCCAGAATGACTTGCCTCTTGTAACAAAACCAAGCAAGAAAACAACCCAGAGGAGAAAAGAAAAGCAGCCTGGGTTCATTTATTTGTTTCCAGATTCCAATCTGCACAACAAAGCCCCCTGCTCTGAGCTATCTCGAGGCGGGCGGGAGCAGGAATCCCGTTGCTTTTTAATTAAAAACAAACTGCCCCACCCCAGTGCAGAAGGCCTCCCCGGGATCCGCATGTTTAACTTGTAGCAGGGCTTCGTGCCGATGCCGTTGCGCGCGTAGGAAAGCGACTAGCCCGACTGCTCTCGGCCTCTCGCGAATAGCGTGGCGGCTGCCTTCGAGCTTTTTACAATGATGCTCATCCCTGAGCGCTTTAGTTCATCCTCTGCTTGCACTAGACCCGGAGGATCTAATCCGGGCGCAGCCACCACCCCCCTCTAGACACCCAAACACAGGCTGGGCATAAGGGCCCGGCTCTCGTCCACCTGGAGCAATAATATTTGGTTGTAAAATATTGCCTGGCTCCGAATCCAAGTGGCCTCCCAAAGCCATCGATCGGAGGGGCTGAGCCAGGTGAAGGGAAACATGAATGCCCCCCCCCCCTACCTGAGGGAACCGTGTTTCGATCGCAGACCCCGTCTTTGAGCAGCTTGTCCCGGATCTCCCAGCTGAACATGCCGGCATTCTCCCTCTTGTATTCCTCGATCTTCTTCTCAACGTCCGGCGTTGTCACCTGCTTTAATGCAAGAAACAAGGCGGACACCAAGTTTTGTACAGTTTGGATTTCATGCAAAAGGGTCACAGCAAGTCGCGGAGGTTACATTCCGCCGTGTGGATCTGGAGTAACTCGTCTAACTTGACTGGAGTCGCTCCGGATTTACACCTCGTTATAATTAAGAGTATGATCGGTCCCTTTTGGGAAGCTTCTCATAATTAAGAACGTCCTCTAAAACTGGCTCAGGACTGCTAAACTAAAATGGCAGATAGATACAATGAGCCAGATCCCGCAGTCCCCATAACTCAAAACTCCCTAAAAAGTTCACTGGGGGTTGCACTCGCCTGAGAACTGTAGGCTCAAATTTAGAGTAATAACATCTTTGAGTGGCTGAACAGAGGCCAGCCAGTAAAGAAATGTTCACAGAGAAGAGGAAAATCGCAGTACAAGTACTGCCAGTGACAGTGTAATGATCGGGAAAAGAGATTACATTGTGCTAGTAATAAATAACTCAAAGTATAACTACGGACCCAACCTCGGAAATTTAGTAGCAACAGAAAATAAATCTAATAACTGATTTTTTAAAATATCATAAACAGACATCAACAAACGCACTGTTTTGAAATATTGCTCGGATGTCCTAAAAAAACGAAAATGAAGTTGAATTAAAAACCCAGGTAATCCGAACTAGAAATAATTTTCCAAATAATATGCCTGTAAAAATACACAAAGTAATTTAATCTAACATTTAGACTAAATACGTTTATTAATCTTTACCTTAAAGGAGAAAGAAAGAAAGAAAGAAAGAAAGAAAGAAAGAAAGAAAGAAAGAAAGAAAGAAAGAAAGAAAGAAAGAAAGAAAGAAAGAAAGAAATTTTTGGGGGAGAGAGGAATATATATAAAAATGCAAACAAGTTAATAGTTGTAACTTTTTTGGGGGGAGAGGAATATATATAAAAATGCAAACAAGTTAATATTTGTCAGAGGATCTATGTTAGCCTGTATACACACTCTTTTCAGTATCACTTCATTTAGCTGTATGAAGTGGAAATCCATCAGCTTCGTGAAGAAACTCGCAGAGTTTTAACACGGCTATTCCTGAGTCTTAGGGTACATGTATGTGTAAGTTGGGAAGACAGCTATGACAGGAGCTAGCTACAGTGCTAGATAAGGATACAGCAACATGCTAAAAAAAACAGAATATAGGCCCCGATCCTGTTAATTCTCCAGCTCTCGGATCCTGACTCAATGGCGAGACCAACTTCCTCAACCTGGACCAGCCACCCTGGAAATGCTCCACCCTTAACCGGCTCCTACAGGTTTTTTTTGGGGGGGGGGGTAGCCTATGCAGGGGCCATTCAGGGGAATAAGAGCTTGCAGGATCAGGCTTTGATTAGTTTCTGGTGTTTTGAAAACTAAACGCTTAAGTATTTTAGGGAGTTACAGAAACAGGTTGGGGGTTACATACAAGAGAGAGAGAGTGTGTGTGTGTGTGTGTCCCTGCACACGCGTATGGACAGGTGTGTTGATTACTAAGGTGTTTACATGGGCACAGACAATTATGCAGCCTTTGGCTGCATTTTGTCTCATATTAAATACAGTACACTGTCTCCCCAGATGCTGCAACCTGCAAACCCTTAGCCAGGACCAGGCTTGTATCAAGTTTACTAGCCCCAATAACGCTCCTATGTGCATCCTTTCCTAATCACCGCAAAAGCACAGTGGTCTCTCGCCCGTTCCCCCCATCTTTCAAGGTTCTGAGCGCCCTCCGTTCTCGCTGAAATCGAAGTAGCTTACACCTGGCAGGGCAGGGACCTAAACGCAGAGCCACTGCACCTGATCTCCTCACCTTGGGTTTGCTGCCCCCGATGGCCCCCGGCCGGATGGAGCCAGTCTCCTGGTACCTGCACAGGATTTTGGAGACGCAGCCGTGGGACACGCGCAGCTGGCGAGAGATGACACAGGGCCGGATCCCGTGATGGGCCATCTCCACGATCTTGTGTCGGATGTGGTTGGGCAAAGGCCTGCCATTGATAAAAACTCCACCGAGCTGGTTGACTCTGCCTTGGCCTAAAGGAGTGGACACTAGAAAGAAAGGGAAGCGGAGTTACTGATGTGTGTGTTTCACAGGCAGCCGCGACTTTTCGTCAGTCACCCATCCACATACACCCAAACATACGCAAGTTCATCCGCTGCATCCCTGCACCAGGTTAGTGCCAGGTTGCCTGGCTGGACAGTTCTGGGATGGTTAGAAGCTTTGGGAGGCGAGCTAGAAGCAGTAGCTGACAGCTGAGTGTCATTTTCGCCCCCACCGGTTAAATAATGTTTCAGATTCATCAACAGAGCGCGCCTTCAGAGAATGGAAACGTTAAACCCGACTAATTCCAGATGCAACTTCAGGAGCCAGATGACATTGTATTCTCAGGCTAGTTACACAGTTACCGCGGGGTCCTTCCTGTTAGGGCGGGAATTGAGCGCCCTTACAATTTCTGGGATATGTGACTCCATTCATCTAATCTAATCTAATCTAATCTGTCTGTCTGTAAAACAGACTGAAGGAGAAAACAAGCGTAAATTGTTCACCTGTTGCACTCTCCATCATTTACCACTGGGAAGACTTGTACTACCTACTTGAATTAACCGCTACTAGTAGAAGTGAAAAGGGGGAAACCATAAAACTCCCAGAGGAATCTTTTAAAGGATTTGGACTACGGAATTCCGATGTGCTTCTTGTTATTATAACATTTTACGCGTTTGCAAATTTCCGCAACTCTAAAATTATTAGGTTCTTGTTTCATTCTCTTTTCATTTCACCCTCAGCGCTCCTTTCACCGTTTTCACACAAACCAGAGAAACTTTAATCAAAAACAAAAACGTGAGAGAGACAGCCTACTCCAGGAGGACACGGGAAGTGGGTTGGTGTCTAAAAGCCCGTTTCAATGCTCTCAAGCATCCCCGTCCCTCAACTCGCTGAGGATCCGAAGCGATTTAGAACCGAATATCGCAAACCTTGTTCAGGCTCACTGTCCATTGGTATCCGTGGGCGTTTTCTCTGAGTAAGGTATGCGGGATCGGATCCCAAATTAAGAAGACAGAACCCCTATCAACAGGTTCTGCTTCCCTCCCCATAAATTTATTCCGGCGCTCTAATTTACAGTGTTGTCTTCAACGCAAATCCGTGCATCGCTTATGTGGAGAATGTTAATGCAAACAATGCACGTTTATTGGTGTGTAGATAGTGAAATGGAGTTTCTCTGAGCACTCTTCCAAGTTGTTAGGAGGAGGGTTTTTTCTTGCTCTAACCGTGTGCAGTTTCAGTTCAGTTCTAATCTATGATTTAATCTAAGTAACTACTGCACAGCGTTGGGTGACAAAAAGTTTCTCAGCAACACACACATGCATAGAGAGTTAAAAAAAACATCATGCATCTAGACAGCCTTCCTACCTTCTAATGGAAATCCGCTGCGAGGGTAGTTCTGCCCGGGAGCTGGTCGCATCATTCTTGGGACAGCTCCAGCTAGAGTTGTCATGTTGTACGCAGCGTTACTTGAATATTATATCCAGGTAAATGCTGATAAACGAGAGATCAGCTCTGGCAATAGATCCCAGTGGAAAAGTCCTGGAAAAAAGGGAGGGGGTAGCTGGGGCGGGGGGAAGCGACTTGCTCTCCTTTTGTCAACAAGACGTGATATCCCAAAGCAAAGGGGAGAGAGACTGACAAGGGGAAAGAAAGGAAAGCAAAGTTTGGGGCGAGGAGGGGAAACTTGCATACAAGTGGCGGGAAGGCGCTGAGACGGCTGCTGGCCCCTGTGGGAAGATGAACGCACTTTCATATGAAAAGGGGGAGGGGGCAGGAATGATTTCTTCCTGTTGTTGATACAGAGTGAAATTTTTCCCCAAAGCTCCAGCAGGATCTCTGAGCTGCTCCTGGCCAGCCGGGAGACTGTCCCGTCTGGAGAAGACAGGAGCTGATTGGGTGAAATCTTCAACTTTCTCTTCTCATCATTACAATCGAGGCCTCAAACTAGGAGTGTGACCCAGGCATTGCCTCTTCTCTTGATAAAGTGTTCTTTCATAGAATGGCTGGGCAGGAGAAAATGCAGAAGCAGGGGAGAAAGCAGCCTTCACTGGGGAAATTGTTCATCCCTTTTACAACTGTCTTGGCACCATGCCACTTGAAGGAGATTACAATAAGGAAGCAACCAGACACTTGCATTTCTTGAAGTCGGTCTCTCTGGTCACCTTTTCTTTCCTGGGGGGATTAGAGAAATACAGAGCTGTATGTGGTCCTGGTCAAACAGCCTGCGAAAAATGAAAGGGGAAGTGGTGTGTCTATTGGTACAGTTCTTTGTCTGCCTCTTTCCAGCACATCTTCTCAGAGGATGTGTGAAGGGAGGAATAAAACTGTCCCCTCTCTCCCTCCCTCCACTGAAATCAGTAGCAATGGGGGGGGGGGGTGTCTATGGAGCGAACGGCGCTATCTGGTTTTTAAGCCCAAGTCTCCATTGTTCCCATTGGGAATTTCTGCTTTAAAAAACGGATGGCAAGATGTGGCCCTGCGTTATATATTTGTGTGTGTTAAAGTAAGTCTTGCTAGCAAGCATTTGTTCCCAGGAATTTATTGTAGTATTCAAACTAAACTGCTGGAAAAATAAAAGAAGTAAAGTCTGACTAGGAGCTGAAGTGACCACAGCAGGATATGACGCCAGGAGTGTTGTAAAGACTGTCTGTCCTTAAAGAAGGTACTATTGTGCATGTCCTTTTATTTATAACTTGGTAAGTGCCAGCAAACTCGCCTCCTTTGCACTCTGAAGTGCCAGCCCGGCTTTGCACAGTGCTCTTTATTTGCAATAGTCTATTCAGTAACTGTCACTCTCCAGCCTCAAGTTATTCAAGACCTTAATCAATCAAAAGGATGAGAATCGTTCAGGTTTCCCCCCCTTTGAAATAAAGGGAACAATGAGTTCTAGGCTTAAAGTTCCCCCTTTCCCTTTACGATTTTGGGAATGTTTCTGTTGCTGATTCCGTTCTCTTTGGGGATTAATGTTAGTTTAAAAATGTATCACTCATCAGCTGCATCAGCCTGCAAAATAAAATAAACCATGAAGAAGCCACAGGTCTCAGACTTTGCTCAGTGAAAACAAAAGGGCACCGCAGAAAGAGTTTTAGACAGCAAAATGAACGTAGTTCAGCGTGGAAGATGTAAAGAAAGAACCCCGCCTCGATGCTCTCATAATTAACAAATAGACAGTAATTTAAACTAGAGTCACGCAAATGCCATCACGATTAGTTATCTGGCTCCTAGTTGTTTACCAGGTTCCAGGCTGTTGATTCCGCACTCTCAGACCCTGCATATCAGAAATAAAATAAACGAGATCACTTTTAAAACGCACCATTTAAAAATTGTTAAATCCCTCTGGACTCCGTCTGAAATTTGGGAATAGAGCCGATAAGAAAATATTTTTTAAAAAGCAGGTTAAGTTTGCGGAATAAAAAAAAGTAATATCTTCTGCTATCGAAGTATTTCATTGTTTATTTCTACCTAAAATACTGAGAGGACAAATTGAGTCTGTATGTAAAAAACTGGATTACTTTGCTTTTTCATAGCTATTTATATTTCCCCCTACATTGCAGTACTTATGCATGGTCATATGTTGAATGCATAAGATAACATTAAAATGTTTTAACACTGAAACTTTTGGAAACTTTCTAGGAAAGCTACAGTTTAATTTGGCCACGTGATTTGACATTTAATTTTAGATTCTTAAAATGGATATGGGGGAAATATGTTGTTTTATTTTAAACGTTGAATCGTGCTTGGAAAAAAAAAAGCTAAAGCTAAAAAAGTGTGTGCATGCGGACTAAGCTGTTCAGTAGTAAAGAGACTACAATATTTCATAATATCCAGGCTTTCAACATATTGACCTCCCGAGCAATTGTACATTGCAGAGACGTGCCACCGGAAAGTGCATGCGGATATGATAGTCACATTGCTGATGAAGTACAGAGCAGTGATTTTAGCACCTGAATCTGCAAGTTAAGTCTGCAGTGTAAGACATAAATTCTAAAAAAGAAGGGGGGGGTCGCTACGCTGCAATGATAGGTGTGAAATGTCTGAACTACATTGTTTCATCCCCCCCCCACACACACACACACGTTTTTCTTTTGACCCTACCCTGCGAGTGTGTATGTGGACTTAGCGGTGGCTCCGGATAGCTCTTCAGCTGGTAGCAGGAGAGAGGTCGAATCCCAGGCCGTCTTGGGGGCGGGAGAATGCATTTGCTGACAGTCATTGCTGCTTCGGTAAATCTACAATGATCAGGGGCCCATTTGGCACCAATTGAAGCCAGTGGGATTACCCCCCAGAAGGGTTAACTTCCCTTTGCTCGCCCTCATACAACCTGCCCATGCTTGAGCGTCCATGTAGGAAACTAGCTGAACTCACCACCTGTCTGTGCGCCAGATGAGGGTGCCCAAAGGATTGACTTAGGGGGTTACTTGACCAAACCCGTTGCTACCCCACCTCTGGAGGGTCCCTCTCCCCATAGCTGACATCATCCCTGTTCCTCCAACACTCCCTGCCTTTCCTGGTTTGTGGCCGACTACAGCCACCGCAAACAACAGTGGGCTCTGGACCCCCGCCCCACCCCAGCCACTTCAGGAAAAAAAACCCTCTCCTCATCTTTCCTACCTAGCCAGGCCCCCATTATGGAGCTTTTCCCACCCAGGAAGCCAGTTGTTTTGGGGGGGGGGGCTGTGCCAACTGCAGTAAATTGGGCCTCTGGACCAGAACCATTAGCCCGTCGCTCCGCAGTGGCACGGCTCGGTTTACATGCGCCTGAGCCCAACGCTTACATAAAGCAAAGAGGCTGGCTGGAGTTGGACCTGGCAACTGGAAAACTACTCCCCCCTTTAAGGCCCACAGGCTTACCAAGCGATCTCCGGCGAGCAATACAGCCCCAAGCCTGCACGCGGCCCGTGTGTTCCAGCCAACAGATTTTTTTTCTTGAAATAGGGGGAGTTTCGAGGGGGCGCGTGTTACAGACCTCAGAGCCTATTGCACCTCAGAGCCAGGCCTATGGATTTCCCCATAGCAGGAAACAGACCCAATGTTCCTGTACCCTGCATGGGGAAATGCACTTTACGGGAAATGCACTCGTCTTTCTTAGATGCTTCTTTCAGGGCATGCCACTAAACGGGTTCTCGGGGATGCGCCGCTCCCCCAACCCAAACTTAGGAAAGGGAAAGAAACGAGGACTAACAAGACGCTCCACTCCAGCGAAGTAAAGGCAATGAAGCATTTCAGGGGCACGTCCGGGCTGTCTCTTTACTCGCTGTAGTTCCTCCCTGGTAGTATTTTCCCTTCAGAAATAGTATGATGGAAATAAAACGCGGAGCCTCCCGCACGCTCTTATCACACACCGCCGTTGGCTTTGGGGAAAGGAAATTACTTGGTTGCATTGCTTCGGGGCCCGATCCTGCCGCCACCGAAATCCATGGCAGTGCTCCATGGTTTGAATGGGGCCGGGATCAGGCCCTTCCCGACCTGTTATGGACGCCGGGTTCTATCCTGCTTCCCAATCACAACACTAGCAAAATGCTCGTTGACTCCAAAGGGAAAGAATCAACTCTACGAAGCGTGAAAATGATTTCAAAAGCCACTTGCCCTGGGAGTTTTGCCTGAATTTGCAGACTCCGTCCGGCTCGTGGGTATCAATATCACAAAAGCCGAAATTGTGCCTCATCTTCTCCTGCTTGGGAACTGTTAAAATTCCAAGCAAAATGATTAGACATGAGTGCCTAGCCCCCCATATTAGAGTCTTTTAGCCCAGCAGAGAGGATTTCACGGTTTTCCAGTGGAAATAGCTAAAAATACTCCTGCTAATTACAGAGCCCTTCCAGGCCAGGTGCACTTTTAATTGGATTAGTAAATGCTCTATATTAAACCTGCAGCACATCAAATGGGCAGTGAAAATTAGAGCTATTAGGAACAGAGGCAATTATTTATGAATGATAACAGTACTGTTTTCTCCCCTATTACAAAAAATCAATTATAATGTGTTCGGGGCTCTGCAAATGTAGTGTGAATTGCTATTATTCTTATTTCTCCTGAAGACTGTTAAGCGTGAATTCGCCATAGGACTACTTCCACGGTGGTAAAATGTATTTTAAGTGTAAATTAATTTGAAAGAAAGAAAGAAAGAAAGAAAGAAAGAAAGAAAGAAAGAAAGAAAGAAAGAAAGAAAGAAAGAAAGAAAGAAAGAAAGAAAGAAAGATTTCATTCTGCACTTCATATTTAGTTGATATTTTGGCAACATATTTTATTGCAAAGCAGGCAATAATTTCCAGAGATAAATGCATAGGTGAAATTGTAGTTCTAAATTGTCCATGAAGGAGCAAGTCACCTTTCTGTCCGGATGATTTTGAAAGGAATTTGATGGTTTCTGCCTTACTTGGTTCTTGAAGGTTTGTTGTTGCTGGTTTTGTTGTTTGATATCAGTTTTTAGTAGGAAAGAGAGAGACCAGACTTGTGACTCCCCGCCCCCTTTATGTCCGTTGTTTTGTTCTTTTTGTGTTTCTAGTCATAACAGACACAATAAAAGAAAGCATAATTTGGGGTACAGAGGGTGCTTTGTTTCCAGCTAGGGAAATTTATTCTCTGGGAGTTTACAAACATATATCTTGGATAAAGGATGGAACTTTTTCCTTGATTTGAGGATGTCCCAAATCAGACGTTGAGGATTTTCTGTGGTTAGCCAAAGAGAAGCTAAAATTCACAGAGAAAAGGATGCACTTCTGATCTTGGACATTATTCTGCTACATTAAGAATTAAAGCCCCCGATTGGAAGAGTTTGCTTACTGGCAAAGGGAATATATTTTACT